TTCTTCTTCTTCTTCTTCTTCTTCTTCTTCTTCTTCTTCTTCTTCTTATTATTATTATTATTATTATTATTATTATTATTATTATTTCAGTTTTTCAAGACAGGATTTCTCTGTGTAGCCTTGGCTGTCCTGGACTCAGTTTATAGTCCAGGCTGGCCTCAAATCACAGAGTTCCACCTGCCTCTGCCTCTTGAATACTGGGAGTACAGACATGAACCACCTCGGAGCCTGAGTCAGCTTTTTAATGGTATGGCTACTAGTAAATCTATTACATGCCAGTAGATGACCACACTCCAGTATATGGACAACTCAGATAGGAATCATGGGATATTTAAATAATAAATAACTAAAAAGACATGAAGTTGGAGAGTGTGGGGAGGTGGGAATGGATCTGGGAGGAGTTAGACGGGTGGGTTAGGGGTGAATATGATTAACACACATTGTATGAAAATTTCCAAGAATTAATAAATATTGTAAAAGTGCTTAGACTAGCTGGGTGTGTTTACACACACCTGTATTCAATCTTACCACTTGGGAGGTTCAGGTAGGAAGATGTGAACTCAGGCAAGGCTTAGCTACATAGATGATCATGTCTCAAAAAGCAAGGAATATTTCTTAGAATAACAAAAATGACTGTACTTCATTTAATGACCAGTAATTGATGAAGTGTGGAATGCTTATTTTTAGTTGAGCCAATGATGTATTTATGTAACACTCATAGGCCTCACAGCGCCAGCATGAGGAATGTGTGGCTCTCCTGCTGCAACACGGTGCTGACCCAAACGCTATGGATGCTCTTGGCAACACGGCCCTTCACTATGCTGTGTGCAATGATAACACCTTCATAGCGTCCCAGCTCCTTGAGCATAGCGCAAACATTGAAGCTAAAACAAAGGTAAAAAAGCATTGGCTTTTATTTCCAATTCACCTCCAATATATTGCTTATAAAATATTGACACACACAGCTCCATTTTCCAGCACAGAAGGTCAGGTATTCACCAAGTAAAAGTGCTCTACAGGGCTCAATGTCAAAGGTATCAAAAGTATTGGCACTTTCAAATTTTTTAGAGGCTACAGATTTCTTCTATGAATGCATAGCAAATACTTTTAGGAACACTGAATTTGTTAAAAGGTACAAATATTTTGCATATCTTTTTTTTTATCAAAGCCTCTCTTTTTTTAAAATTAGTATAAAACATTGGAAGAAAACAACAAGTTTCTTAAAGTTGGGTTTTATGACTAAAAAGAAGCTTCCATAATAAATAGAGATTGTGTTGCTGTCAACAAATTCCACCAACATGGTTTGTCTCTCAGAAGTGAGGCTGAAATAGGGAGAATGAGAATGGAGTAGTAATCAGAAGGCAAATTTGGAAACTTGATATTGAAGGGAAATACAAAGAATTGTATTAATTTTTAATTGTTTAATTTTCCCAAGTTATATGAGCAGATAAAAATTCTCTTTAGTTGGGGAGACAGACCTCTTAGTTTGATTAAAAAAATTGAGTTACAAACTAGTCTAGAGATGACCTTGCTCACTAATCAAAACAGATGACCACTCTTATTATAGCCCTAGTAGCCAAGCTCCTTCTACTGACCCCCATAAAAGAAAACCCCAAAGAATAACTGGGGACTCTACTATCTTCTTATGTGCCCTGATGCTCTTTTGCAGCTAACCTGACCACTCAGAGGTCAGAAGTCAGTATTAGAGTTTTTATTAATTAACTGTTATATATTTATTGCTGGCTTATATTTTGTCTGGAATAAAAAAAAGTAATTTAGTTACTAAAATATAGTCTTTCATGTTGTTATTGGATCATTACTATACATAAGAATAAAATTTGGGGGTCTGGGGAGATGGCTCAGATATTAAACACCCTGACTGCTCTTCCAGAGGTCATGAGTTCAATCCCCAGCAACTACATATTGGCTCATAACCACCTATAGCAGGATCTGGTACCCTCTTCTGTCCTGCAGGCAGACCATTGTATACATAATAAATAAACAAATCTTTAAAAAAAAATAAAATTCTCCACTGAGGTTTTTAACTGCAAAGATACAGATCTTGCCTCTTACAGCAATAAGCAATGACAATTAAACTTTAATTCAGAGCAATTTCCTGAGGAGCCCATTTGGAGCAGGAGTACCTGACAATGGTATCTTGTTCCTGCCACCCTAAAGAGGATGACCTTCACCCCAGCCTGGTGCAAACATACTGGAAAACTGTGAGCACCATATCTCTGAAGCCCTTCCTCAAATGTGAATGTTCTCCACAAAAGTGCTGTGAAGTGTGGGTGTAAGTCAAGGAGTCTCTTTGATACTGGACCTGTAGTCATAGTTCGGTAATAACAGGATGTTTCAGTCTTTGTGGCGCTTCTAGAAAAGTAAATATTCTATGAAATACAGATCGAGTGGCTTTGTTCTGGAGAGGACAGTTTAGCTCCTTTACCCAACAGAAGTAAAACCTTTGCTATTGCTATCATGTCCTAGGGGTAGGGCAACGGAGGGGAAAGATAGCATCGTTGTCCTCAAGAAGCTCTTGGTTTTATTTATTTATTTTGTATCTTTTAAAATTTAATTTATTTATAAAACACATACTACATTCTGACTGCTGTTTCCTTTTCCTCTCCTCTCCCCAGTCTCTCCACACCATGTCCCCTTTCCCCCGTATCTGTTCCTGTCCCTCCCCTCAGAAAAAAAGCAGGCCTTCCAGGGACATCAACATAACAAGCTACAATAAGACCAGTCATATATTCTAACATCAAGGCTGGATGAGGCAACCCAGTGGGAGGTGAAGGGTCCCAAAGGCAGGCAAAAGAGTCAGAGACAGCCCTGTCCCCACTTTTAGGAGTCCCACAAGAACACTGAGCTACACAGCCATAACATGTATGCAGAAGACCCAGGTCAGGCCCACACAGGCCCCCTGATCTCTGGGAGCCCACAGTCAGTCAGGTGATTCTGTGGGGAGTGTTCTTGTGGTGTCCCTGATCCCTCTGGATCCTCCAATCCTTCCTAGTCCTCCTAGGACTCCCTGAGCTCCACCTTATATTCTGCTGTGGGATTCTGTATCTGCTCCTATCAGTTACTGGATGATGTCTCTCTGATGATGGTTATACTAGGATCCAGTCACAGCAGATTCTGGTTTTCAGGGAGCTGGCCTGGCTTCCAATAGGTTAGAAGCAAGATGCTCTTGTTTTAGTTGATAAAAACCACACACCCATATTGAAGTGAAGACTCTGATATATATATAATTTTATTTATTTAATCACTTTGCAGCCCAATCCCAGCCCCTGCCTCTTCTCCCCCAGGTCCCACCCTCATGTGAAGTGAAGATTCTTGGCACCAGTGTCTGGAGGAGTTTTGGAGAGAACTGGAGTTTCAAAGGGGTGGAGCGGCCTCTGGGGAAGAGCAGCTGGGAGCCAAGGGGGAGGAACTTGTTCATCTCTCTGTGCAATTTATGTTCATAACATTGAAAAGATTTTTTCATTAAGTTGAGAGATACCTCGTTCCATGTCCTGTTAGTTGTTTTTGTTTGCTTCTCAGGATGGTTTCACACCACTTTCACTTGCTCTTCGGCAAAACAAAGACCTGATTGCAGAACTTTTGATAGAGAAGGGTGCAAATATACACACAGTGTTTCCCCGGGGCAGGTATGGTTCATTCTTTTTTTTTTATGATAAAATTTAGTATGATTGTTGCTTTACTTATAAATGGAATTAGTATTAACTTTATCTATCTATCTATCTATCTATCTATCTATCTATCTATCTATCTATCTA